GACGCAACCCGATTCGAGAGGAGCGGTCCAGCGGTTCGGGTATTTGTGGTATAACACATATTTATGTCTATCATTTAACGTGTATTTTGTTTTGTTAATGATTATTTGTTTTCTATGTGCAAGGCATCATTCTTCCTTTGCAGAGAGTGCATGCATACATTTTCCAAAAACCGGGAGTTAAAAAGATTACATCCACCTAAAAGGTGATGGCTCACCTACGGTGAACCGTGAACACAACAAATCTATGTTCACACTATTGATTTTATTAATTTATAATTTGATCTTAAAATGAAGAAAACCAAATTACATAATGTACAACTAATTATAATGTTAATAAGTATAACTATGGCTAATATAAAAAATACCTGAGTGAGTAGTGAGTAGAGGTTGATGAGGGTCGATTGTCGACGGATATGAGCGGTCCGTGCAGCGAGTTCTCGTCGGCGGGCGGATGAAGACTGTCAAGGTCCGAGGAGGAAAGTTTGAGGGGCGAAGTCTGTTCTGTATCTTCTCCTGTGCACTTGTACTCGTTCTATACTCTCGGACCTTTTCTTTTTGGGTTTAAATTTCTAAAAAACGATGTTGTTTTGTATTAAATATGAAACAACGTTGTTTGTCTAAGAAATAAATAAATAAAACTGTAAAATGGTCGAGAACCGACCCGCTGAGAGCGCACCATACCCCAGTAGCGCCAAGGCACCGTCGATCCACCTGACCGATATTTTAAGGCCGATTCACACATATAGAAGTCAGCCGACCGTTACCAAGTGCCTAGGCGGCCACCTAGGCTTAATTGAATAATTAATTAAATAAAAATATATTTAAAATATATATATTTTATAATGAATTTCAATAAAAATAAATAACAAAAACAAATAGTTTATAAGTCTTAATATGATTAATTTACATTATTTACATAAATATATATTATACATCTCTTATTGAAAATAATTTTGTTTTTTTTGAAAAACCAAAACCTCTTTTTTTATATATATAAATATATATTATTTTTTTTTAAAATAATATTGGGAAACTTCCTAAAAAATCTCCAAACCTCTTTTAACTTTCCTACTCAGTCTCCACCCTCCACACTCCCTACCCCTTAATCATCTTCCTCATAATTCCCTATTATTTAAATAAGTCAAAAACAAATTGAAAATGACATCATCCCTACTATCTTTCCTCTCATCTTATTATTTTATTGTTTTTCTCTCTCTTCACTACTAACTTTCTTATTTTTTTATTATTTTTGTTTCTCTCTCTTTTCACACATTTTTTATTATTTTTTACTCATCTTCTACTATTCATCTCTTTTGCTACTTTTTTTTCTTAATTTTTTATTTTTTTTCTTTTTTCTTTCTTTCCACACAACATATATGTACTAAATTACAACTACATTGGTATTGTCCTACTACATTATAGGTATCAGTTTTGTAAACAAATATTTACAGTATATATTTATTTTCGTTCATATCAGTCGGTATTAAATGACAATATATAAGTACTGAGTAACTAAAACACTAGTATTGTCCTATTCCAATATAGGTATCAGTTTTGTAACTCATTAAAACAAACTATTATGAATTTAGTGTGATGCAGGGTAATAAATATTCATTAATATTTATAAATTAAAAAATTTCACTAAATAATATGAAATCAATATGTAATACTACCCCTATATTAATTTATTTAAAATGTTATATGAAATTTAAATTTGTGCAAAATTATATAAAATATGTATATTTAAATTATTACACAACTCGTATGATGTACATAACTGTTAATAAGTTACATTATTTCATTTCAAAATAAGTGTCATTTAAATTTTTTTATTCAAAATTCAATTTGAATATACTATGGTTCCATAAAATAAACATTTTGATAAAAATTTTATCATATATTTAAAAATATATATAAATAATAAGTACAATAGTAAAACTTATATCTTTTCATTAATTAATATAAATTTATTTTTGTATAAACTATCTAAATAAAAAAAAATATATTTTACTAATCTTCATTTCAAAAGATGTATCAAAGATTAAATTTTAAAATTTATTAAAAAAAAATATTTATTCAAAGATGTATCTAATTTTCAAAATGAATATATATCAACTAGTTTGATACTCGTGTACTATAGGGTACTTAAATATATAAATATTTGTACAATAAAAAATTAAAATAATTTATTTTTTATTTTTAAAATTATATATAATGAATATACCAAAAAAAAATACTTATAAATAAAAAGATTGCAACCCTAGCAGTAAAATTGTCTCTTCCATCACCAACCAATGTCGTCGGAGGAGTCATCCCGGAACCCTCCTCCCGAAGAGGAGAACCTTGAGAAGAAACCTTCTAAGAAGGAGCTCGCCAAGCTGGAGCGCCAGCGCAAGCGTCAGGAGGCCGCCGCAGCCTCCGCTGCCGCCGCAGTATTCTCCGTGACCATCGAAGCCAATCCATTGGCGGCAAACTACGGCGAGATCCCGTTAAACGACCTGCAGTCGAAGGAAATCTTCGGGAAGAAGTGGACGAAGGTGAAGGACCTGGCCGCCGGGTTGAAGGACGAGGAGGTGCTGATACAGGGGTACGCGCAGGCAATCCGGGCTATGGGCAAGAAGGCGGCGTTCATGGTGGTGAGAGAGAGAGGGGGTTTATGGTGTAGTGCGTCTTGACTGTGGCGCAGGATCTTGTGAGCCCGCAGATGGTGAAGTTCGCCACTCGCCTGAGCAGAGAAAGTATCATTGAGGCCATCTCCAGCCCTTATCTCTACTCTAGCGTGGACTTTACTCTACTTCAGAGTAGAGTTGAACATTCATCTCCAGCCCTTATCTCTACATTTTACTCTACATTAAATATATTATTTTTTTATTCATTTTTTGTTTCAAATAAATTGGTATATATGTATATTTAATTTTATATAAAATGTTAATTACTCAAATAATAAAAAATATATTTTATTTATTTTTATTTAACATAATTTGCTATATATGAATATGTAATGTTATAGAAATGTTTATTACCCAAATAGTAATTAAAAAATTATGTATAACAACACGAGATGCTTCATAAATTCAAACAAAAGGATACAAAATACATAATACAATGAAAAAAAAAGCATTACAAACAACGATTACAATAACATTACAACTAATTTTCTGAATTAGAAAATTCCTCCCATAAATGCTCAATCAATGCATTACGAAGGGCGATATGAGCTTCTCTATCTCGAATTTGTCTGTATCGAGCAACAAATGCTTGGAACTGAGAAGCTTCATTACCTACCATTTCAACATCATGGGGCTTCTATCGCAGCTTCAATCGCTGCAGAAAGATCTCGTTCATCCTCAGTTATCATATTATGCAAAATAATACATGCAGTCATTATATCTTGTAAGTCATTTTTACTCCAAAATCGTGCAGGATTAGCCACAATAGCAAATCGACTTTGGAGTACTTTAAATGCACGCTCCACGTCCTTTCTGCATGCTTCTTGTTTCATTGCAAAATATTTTTTTTTTCTGACTCTGTGGGTCACGAATAGTTTGGACAAGAGTTGCCCATTTGGGATATATATTATCTGCTAAATAATACCCCATGTTGTACTCTTTACCTTGAATGACATAATGTGCAGGAGGGGCAATTCCTCGATTATGGTCAGAAAATAAATGAGACCTCTCTAACACATTAATATCATTGTTGGATCCAGGCATACCAAAGTATGCATGCCATATCCAAAGATCATAATCAGCTATAATTTCTAGAATAATAGTTGGAGATTTACTACGTCCTGTATATGCACCTGCCCAAGTTGTTGGACAATTTTTCCAACGCCAATGCATACAATCCAGACTACCTAACATTCCTGGAAAGCCACGTTGCTTACCGATATAAAGGAGTCTTGCAATGTCATTGGCGTTGGGAAAACGTAGATATTGCTCTCTGAATATCTCTACAACAGCACGACAAAAAAAATTCTTCACACATTCAATTGCGGTGGACTCTCCAATATTTATGTATTCATATGTCGCATCTGCTGGTACAGTGTATGCTATTATTCGAAGCGCAGCAGTTAACTTTTGATAGGTTGACAATCCGAGTCTACCAACTGCATCTCTTTGCTGCAAAAAATAATCGTCATGACTTTTAACTGCATTTGCTATACGAAAAAATAAATTTCTAGACATCCGAAAACGTCTACGAAACATGGCTTCATTAAATTTTGAGTTTTCAGAAATATAATCGTTATAAAGACGATTTGCAGTTGCTTCTCGATCGCGAAATATTGTTTTTCGACCAGGAACTGAACCTCCATGGCTTTGACCGCCTTGTTGAGTTCTAAGAAATTCTTGCACAAGAATATTATTGTTGTAAATTTGTTGTGCTATCAGAGTTTGCTCTGTATCATAACTATCT